AGGGGAGTCCCGGAGGAGACCGCGCGGAGGGGCCTCCGGGGCCGGGTCTGCCCGGTCGCGGCGCCCAGGTGCGGTGCGCGCTGGCTGTTGGCCGGCGCCCGGCTGAGTGCGGACGGGGCTCCCGAGCTGCCGGGCGCGCGGAGCGGCTCTCGGCGTCCCGGCCCCCTGTCACGGCCCTCTTCTTTGCGCAGCCAGTTCTCGGGACCGCGATGCTTGAGGGGCAGGAAGAGGAGGGCGACCTTCCGACGGACAGCGATGAAAGCGTCTATTCTGGCCTGGAAGACTCTGGGAGCGACAGCCTTACGGAGGAGGAGGAGGACGATCGGGATCGCGGAGCTGAGGAGAGGCTGCGCTCCAGAAACCCGCAAGTAAGTCGGTAGGGTCAGACGGCGGTCGGGGTAACGATCTTCTGCGAGGAGCAGCCAGACGTTGGCCGGTGGCGAAGAGGAGGCGAAGGGGGGAGCACCAGCCTTGCCCCCTTGACCGGCAGAATCACTCTGGGATCCCTCTGGATTTTGGTTCCCCTGAACCTAGAGCCCACAAAACATTCTCAGTTTTGTTATTGTCACACCACAGTTGATCCAAAGCTTTTAGGCAGAATTTCAAGAATGCAATGGCTTGTTTGGGGGTTAAAAAATAGACGTTTTCCATTTCATGCACATTTGTAAGAGATCCCAAAATAGCGTTGCCCAGTACGTTCCTTCTGTGTTTGGCACTCTGTCACCCTTAAATTCAAGCTTACCTGCAAAGGATGAGGTAGAAAATGGCTGTTGTAGTCAAAGATACCAAGTAATGCTTTAGTCTGTTGTCACAGGGCATGTCCTCAGTTCCCTCTATCATTTTTTATCTTCCTCTGTGCCTATTTAACTTGTCAGGTTTTGTCCTTGAATGGGCTGCCCAGAATCATCCACCATAGTCGAGGTGTGGTCTCAACAGTGCTGGGTAGAGGGGTGTAAGGACTCCATGCATCTTTAATACAGTGCTGCTTCTAACCCAGAATTATGTTAACCCTTCTAACAGCTGTTTCATACTCCTGGCTAATGTTCAGCTTGGTGTTAATGTCCACAACCAATTTTTTTTCAAATATCTGTTGCAAGGTATTTGTAGGTGCTGGTTTTTATATATATGTGGATTTCTTGGGATTTTTTATGTTTAAATTGTTGGCTCCCTAGAGCCTCTGGGAATAGGCGGCATACAAGGAACATATGTGCATACAAAAATATTGTCCCTTCAGCCCAGGTTTATAGCTCTCCAGATTAGAGTGCAATCATGTTCTCTCTTCCTGGATTTTGGCCAGATCTCCCAGTTCTGCATTATTCATAAATTTAATAAGCAGCCCATCAATCCCCTCACCCAGGTCCTGAACAGAAGTACATTTGGTCCGAAGACAGATCCTTGTGGGATGCCACTGGTCACTGTTCTCTAACTCAACACGGAGCAATTAATGCCAGATCTCTGAGTGTGGTTCACCAGCCAGTTGTGGACCCATATTACTGTAGTACCATTCAAGCCACATTCAAGCAGCTTGTCTATTATGAGGATGTCATCTAGAACCTTGTCAAAAGCTTTGTTGAAATCAAGGTAGATTATATCTACACAACTACTCTCATAATAGGTATCCTGTCAGAGAATCTATTTTTGACAAAGCCACATTGGCTCTTGGCAGTCATATTGTCTTCAAGGTGTTTGCAGATGGCCTCGTTTTATTATCTGCTCTAAAATGTTTTCAGGTTTTTGGCTCACTGGTTGATCATTAGAAGGATCCTTTTTTTTCCTCTTCTTGAAGAATGGAATCACATTTGCTATTCTTCAGGGCTCTGGCACCTTCCTGGTTCTGCAGGACTCTTCAAAGATATCTGACAGAGGTCCTAATAGCTCTTAGGCCTTCAGCCTTCTAGGGCGTATTTCATCAGGGCCTGGAGACCGGAGGCCTCTGGATTAGCCAGAAGAGCCTTTC